CACAGACCTGCAGCTCATATGGGAGAATATACTGGGAAGGCTGGGCTTTTAGCATACAAGAAGAAAGACAGAAAAGTGAGAGAAATCATGGTTGCGGTTCTCACAAGTTATACAGGGAATGTTGCAAAAATGGGGAGGACATGGGAGGAGGACTCCAACTGTGACCATTTGGCTTTGCATCAGATGTACTGTTTGGCTCCTAAAACTCAGAAAACACATCAGTCTGATCACAAAGCCAACGAGGAAACAGTGACGTCAGCATCAGGCTGTTTGGAATAACTCCTCTCTCAGCAGACAAAAGTTCAACATTTAGGAGCGATAAAGTGAGCTAGAGTTAAATTCAAAGTCATTCATAACGGTGACAAATCTCAATTGAGAGTGATCTTTTACCATCGCTAGAATATTTCAACTGACTGGAAACATGGGCGTGTCTGGAGAGGGAGCAACAAGGGCAAGTGCCCCAGTTAGAGTTGGACCTGGCCCCTCTACTGAAGACATAACACAAAATCCATCTCTTAAGGTACATTCAGACAGAACCCATTGTCTGCAGCAGTGAATCCTATTCAGTGAAGGCATTCAATGCTTCGCTCTTACTTGCTACTTGACAGAACTAAGGTGTTGGCAAACAGTGGCACAATATGAAGAGGTGGAGCGGTGACCACTGAAGTTGAAAAATCATGTTACCAATAGCTTCCAATAAAGGACTGGTTGTAGTTGAGACGTAGGTTGAAAGAAGTGCAGCAGAGATTGATTATAGAAGAACTGTTCTTTACCCTCCATAACCTCCAGCACAAACCATTGGTCTGTTGTTTCCCCACTGTCCTGCACAGGTGCTTTCTGCACAGGTAGATCTATAAGGAAGTACTGCCAAATTGGTTCATCATACAGATAAACCTAAAAATGGTTTTGGATGAACCAAAGGGGTTATAATCAGTGCTTCTGGGGCTTTTCCCAAAAGATGTATGGTCTCTCCAAAGCAATTCAAAACTTGTGCAAAGAAAACAATTTAGAAGCAGCCTGTAATGTCACATTTCACCTGTGCTTTTATTGTGAAGTGCAGACATTGAGACCAGTAGGGTGATGGAAGCCATTTTTCAGCTCAATCACAAAGCTACCCTGATATGGCCGCACCTGAGCTCCTGTCACTTGTTTTCAATCTATTCTTCCTGTTGGCCTGGTAACCAGATGTAAGTATTCATATATTTTGGACTTTCAAAATTTATTAAACAATTGTTTTTAATCCTTTTTTTTTTCAAATAAAATCAATAGTTTTATCTTGCACCACTCTAGATGTTCTGTGGATTTATTGAATGTGGAAAATGTATTGTTTTGATGAAAAAGTTGTAGCTATCACCTTTAACAAAGAAATATTGCACTTTTTTTTTGTTTCATTGCGCCCCCATGATAAAACACTGACCCAAATGTGGCCCCACTGGTAAATTTGATCTAGAGCTGCCAATAAAAGTAATATAAACAGTTTTGAGTAGGCCAAATAGAGTCAGGGCTTGAATTTATTAGAAAATATGTCTAAGATGCTAAAGCTTAGGATGATTGCAAACAGGAATTCCAATGTAAATGAAATAAAAAGCATCCAAGAGCTGGGCACCAATTAGTATTATCCATGTTTTCCTATTTGTTATTTAGAAGCAGTCCTGGGTGAGAACCTATTAGAAGCTGCAAAAACTGGAGAAAAAAGAGGTTCACCTTCCATTATGGCAATAATAAACATAAACTTACAACTTAACATGGATAATTCAGATCAAAGTGTAATAATGTAGTGGAATGATCAGTCATAGTCCAGACCAAAATACAGTAGTCTACAGCAAAACTTGAAAATTGCTTTCCATTGTTTCATAACTCAAAAGACTCACCCTGAGCAATGATTCTAGGAGGAATAAGCTATATACTTTTATTCTCATATTCTGATGTTGTCAGAATTCACCTTAGAGACCTTCAGAGGTGACAGCATCAAAGGTGCTTCTATATAAGCAATTGCTAAATGGAGCTGAACACAAACACATGGCAAAACTAGCACATAATATCCCAACACAATACATTTAGCTCTCTGGTGGTAACGTGGCAAAGAGACAGTTGGCTGTCAATACAGGGCGAAAGACAGGGGAACCAACTGGTGTATAATAATGGTGTATTTAAAAAAGGGCCTGAATAGAATGCAAAGTATTTATCTCCACTATAACCATGATATGTCTCTGTCTCATATAGAGAACGCATTAGTATTAAAAGCTGGGGAAGATAGACTAACCTATATTAATCCTGCAGTTTTAATGCTAAAGTGTACTCAAAGACAAAGGGATTGATAGTCTACTTTTGCCCTTGAGTGAGGCAAAGAGCTCGTCAGAATGAGTATGTATGGCAGAGAGCTTAATAGCAGAGCGGTGACAAAAAGATAATCTCTTTTGTAGTTTTTATCCCTAAATGTGTTGTTTGTCCCTTATCCCAGCTACTTAGGTTCTGCCCTGCATAAGTGATGCCCTGCACTTAGTCTGCAAAAAGCAGGTCAATATGACCAAAGAGAGAAGAAAAAAAAAACACATGTGCATCACATGGATAGCCTTGGGATTATTCCTCACAAAATGTCTTAATTCCTCTGTTCACTAATGATCCAGGGAAAATGCCCTCTAATCTCCATTCCATTAATTAAAAAGAGCATGAGCCCGTGGAAAACCGCACCATCTGCTGCAGTTTCATTTGTGCAGACAGATTGTGTTTTCAGTTTTTAAACAAGGAGAAATTGGTTTTTTTTTTTAGGCAATTGGTTGAGAGGAAAAAAAAAGATAGAATTACTGTTTTATTTTTTTATGCATCAAAGTAAATATTTCAAAATAGAAGGGAAAACAGTAGCTAAATTGTTGTATTTCATTCCCAAGATTGCATTATTATTATGTGATGACATGCAGCAACTGGTTATTTACATAAAAAGATTAAATCAATTATTGGAACTTTACATGTTAAGTGTTAATAGATTAACTGATTTGCTTTTTCTTTAATTTGTGTAAAAAGTTTAAAAAAAACGTTTTACCTCTTTATGCCATTACCTAATAACCATAGAATAATTAACACACATTGCTTTGCAAAACTACCCACAAAACTGGAACATCACATTGAATTTAAAACACACCTGGATTTTTAGTTGTGAATTGTATTGCAAAAAGGATGTTTTTTTTTTTTTTTTTATGTTTTTTGCAAATCCTTTACCTGAAAAGCATGGGCATGTATACGTTCATATTTGACCCCTTTTATTCTCATGTCCAAAATGAAATCCCAATCCAGTGCAACCAGTTTTCGATAAAACACCCCTTATTCATATCCATGAAGGCCCTAAAGGTTTGTAAGAGTAGAGCACAAACAGCATCATAATGAGCAGCAACAGAACACGCAGAAAGGTCAAAGATCAGAAAACTTAAATCAGGGTTATGTTATGAAACAATATCCATCTATCCATCTTCTTCTGTTCAATCCTTCAGGGTCATGGTGGGACTGGTGCCTTTCTGGAGCAGTCTATGTGTAAAAGGACGGGTACACCTTGGACACATTGTCAGTCCATCGCAGGGCAAAGCAGAGACATGAAACAATACACCCACACACACTCACACCTAAGGACAATTTAGAGATGCCAATTAACAGTTAACCAAACAGTCAAGTGTTTGGACTGTGGGAGGGATCAGTAGTACACAGTAAAAATCCAGGAATGAAAGCCCCTGGGAAGCAAATCGAACGTAGGACCTTCTTGCTGCAAGGCAGCAGTGCAACAAACTGTGCCACCTTGAAAATGAAAAGAGTACAGCATAATTGAATACCCACACAAAACCTCACTTTCAACGTAACCATATAGGCATGGCACTGATAGTATTAACTAGAGAATCAGCCAACATGCCAGCGGTACAAATGCAAGGGCTGCAGAGATCTACATCTAAAGTGTAAGAACAGTTTGACTGGTCAAAGCAATAAAGAACATGATGCTTTGACCAGATAAGACATCAGTCTTACATTTTGACATGCATAAATACATCTTCCTCACAAGGAAACATGGTATTCCCTACATTATGTTGTAGGGATCATTTTCTTCAGCAGAAAAAAGGAAAGCTGGTCAGAGCTGAAGGGTAGATGGATGGAGCGAAATATAATGCAATGCAATGGAAACCAGGGTATAAAAAGGACTTGACGATGGAAACAACATACAACAGCACTCAATGCCAAAGATCAAAGTATGTTCTTATGTTGGAGTACTCATTCAAAGTTGATATAAATCAGTAGAGGCTACATTGAAAAAGATCTGAGCCTAAATGTGAAAAGCTAATAAAAAAAAGATACAGTAAAAGCTGATTTCTTTAATCAAGGGTCTTCATCATGTTTCATTCCTGGATCCCCAAATTGATGTAGAGACAGAGAAAGGATCCCCTTGCCATGTCCTCTCCATAGGGGCTTTAATGTCATCTCCCTATGCAGAATGTATTAACTGCTTTGTCTATCAATTAACACCCATAATGAATTAAACAAAAATTTGTGGATGTTGTGTCATAAAACATTTAAAACTTCAATTTGAGCACATATTTTGTAAAGTGCTGGATTATAGATTTTTTTTAAATCTGCATTATAAAATGTTTTTTAAATGCTTTAACCATGGTGACCTGCAACATCTTACTGAAACTTCTGAAGAATGTTGTTAGTAACTTGAAATATACAAAAGGTAGAAAAATCGGTGTTAAATTGAACTGATGAAATAATCCTATAAGAATCTAAATGGGATACTTTTGACCTGCGTTTAAAGCCCCAAAGACCGTGACACGAATTTGATAGGGCTAGTAGGCAGCAGGGATTAACAGAGCAGATGTCGTTTTCCCCTTCGCCTTGAAACAGAGGGGCCAATAATAAAAGCGCGCACACGCAGGCACACACACAGAGATAGGCTCTATGCCTCTGCGCATCTCACCTCTTTCCCCTTTCCTACAGACAAGAATGCGCAGCTCCATTCATACTGATGTGAACTTCTGCTCACCTTCGACTTTATTTTAAAACACATCTCTTGCTTCAGACAACAAATGGGCATCAAAGGTGACCTGTGTGTGAAATGGCTCCTGTGCCATTTTGCGCTCATCACAGTTTTCACTGAGAGAGCGTTTGGACAGATCCGCTACCCCATTCCAGAGGAGCTGGAACACGGGGCTTTCGTGGGAAATATAGCGGAGGATTTGGGGTTGGATTTGGATAAACTGTCTATGCGCAGATTTCGGATAGTTTCCGGCTCCAAGAAGCAATACGTGGAGGTGAATTTGGAGAACGGTGTCCTGTTTGTCAATGAGAGAATTGATCGAGAGGAACTGTGCGAACAGAGTTTATCCTGTTCTTTCCACCTGCAAGTTGTGATAGAAAACCCACTGGAGCTGTATAGAGTGGAGATCGAGATTCTGGACGTGAATGATAACTCTCCCAGCTTTCCCTGGACAGAGATCAACCTTGACATATCCGAATCTGCTGCGCCAGGATCGCGTTTCCCTCTGGAGAGCGCGCAGGACATGGACGTGGGATCCAACTCGCTGCGCACCTACTTACTGAGCGTAAACGAACATTTCAACTTAGACATCCAGACGCGGAGTGACGGTAGTAAATTCGCAGAGCTGGTCCTACAAACACCGCTGGATAGAGAGCAGCAGAGCGCCCATCAGATGGTGCTCACGGCGGTGGACGGAGGTGCGCCAGAGAGGTCAGGCACTGCGCAAATCTACATCACTGTTCTGGACGCGAACGACAACGCGCCCGTGTTTGATCAATCGTTTTACAGAGTGAGGCTCGCCGAAAACGCACCAAAAGGTACAGTGATAATAAACCTCAACGCTTCTGACCAAGACGAGGGACCAAACGCAGACATTAATTACTCCTTTAGTGGCCACGCTCCGTTAAAGGTGCGCCAGCTTTTCAGCGTGGATCCACGCACGGGAGAAATAAAAGTAAAAGGAGTGATCGACTACGAGAAAGCAAGGATGCATGAAATTTACGTGCAAGCGAAAGATAAAGGTCCCTCTGCCGTGGCGGTGCACTGCAAAGTGCTTGTGAACGTCTTGGATAAGAATGACAACCTGCCTGAGGTGATCTTGACCTCAGTGTCCACACCTGTGCAAGAGGACGCGCCGCCAGGGACCGTTATAGCTGTTATCAGTGTGATGGATAAAGACTCGGGTGAAAATGGGAATGTGGACTGCGAGATCCCGCATCACATCCCGTTTCAGCTTCACTCATCCTTCAAGAACTACTACACCTTAGTAACCTCTGACTTTCTAGACAGAGAGGCGGTGGCAGATTATAACATCACTGTCACTGCAAGAGATATGGGTTCTCCTCCTTTATTTACAAGGAAGACCATCTTCGTCCAAGTCTCTGATGTGAATGATAATGCCCCTAATTTTAAGCAACCCTCTTATACTGTTTATCTGACAGAGAATAACGCACCAGGCGCATCAATCTGCTCTGTGATTGCAACGGACCCAGACTCAGGTCAGAATGCGTATTTATCATATTCCATACTAGAGGGGGACATAAAGGGAATGCCTGTTTCCACATATGTATCTATAAACTCGGACAACGGGAACATTTACGCACTGCGCTCATTCGATCACGAGCAGCTTAAAAACTTTCAGGTCACTGTGAAGGCTCAGGACGCGGGATTTCCACCTCTCAGTAGCAACGTCACAGTGAGCATCTTTATTTTGGATCAGAACGACAATGCGCCCCTGATTTTATCCCCTGTTACGCAAAACGGCACAACGCCGAACGCAATCGTGCCAAGATCAGTGGACGCGGGTTATCTGGTGACTAAAATCAATGCAGTAGACGCGGACTCTGGACAGAACTCGCGGCTGATTTACCAGATGCTCCAAGCCACTGACTCCAGTTTGTTCAGTGTGGCTCTGTACACAGGCGAGATCAGGACGATGCGCCAGATAGAGGATAAAGAGCCCACCAGGCACAGGCTGGTCATTCTGGTGAAGGACAATGGTCAGCCTCCCCTTTCGGCCACAGTTTCCATCATTTTGTCAGTAGTTGACAGCTTGCCAGATTTACAGCCTGATTTGGGTGACCTTTCACAGAGCCTGCATCACAGCTCCAGCTTCACCCTGTACTTAATCATGGCTCTGGGTGCAATCTCCTTCACGTTCCTGCTGGCTATCATCGTCCTTGTTGCAGCCAGAAGATTGAAGGGTAGATTGCCCAGCAAGGCGTCCAGCCTCCCCTCCGTCAGCAGTTGCTGTGGCTGTTGCTCTCCTTCACAGCTCTCCTCCTCCAACACCACCACAACCACAGAGGTTTTCAAAAAGTCCAACCTGAATGTCCGCATGTCCTCTGCAGGTGCTTCAGGGTGCACTGAAGCCAGTAGCAGCGGCCCTCACCCGCAGGTGTACTGCTACAAAATGTGTCTGACCCCTGAGTCTTCCAGAAGTGACTTCATGTTTCTTAAGCCTTGCAGTCCGGTTCTTTCGGTACAGCAGAACAACACCAAGAGCACTGATTACCTGACCTCAGGCTGGAGCACGCTGGAGCGTAACGATATATCCAACAACCGAGGAACAAGCCCTAATGAGGTAAAGATCAGGAAAACATGGCGATTGAATGAAAAACTTATTTTTATTAAAATGTATTCTTGTCCCATATTTATGATACAAACAAAAAGTATTAGGTATTTTAGTGTGATCTATATGAATGTGCATGTTTTTCCTATTCCATTTTTGTTTATCTTTTTAGCTCAAAAAACCCAAAACCTATGTTTCCAAATATATCCCATAAGTGAAGCAGAAGGTAGCACCATGCTTTCGGGATGCATTTTTCCAACTTTCATAAAAGTTGGCCAAAGTTGAGGTGAAATTAATTGATTCTGCAATGCAGTCATGGAAGAAAACCTGTTCTGTGGTTGGGTGATAGTAATGTGGATATTCACATTCCAAAATTACCTGAAACATACAGTACATATTCATTTAATTTCAAAGGTTAGAGTGTCATAATGGCTTACAAGGGCAAACTTCAGACTTACATCTGATTGAGAAGTTCTAGCAAGACTTAAAAAATTGCTGATCACAAACACACTCCAGCCTGAGAAAGGCAGAAAACAATAGAATTTGGGTGTAGATCTGTAAAGACATGCACCTAAAGAGTTGCAGTTGCAACTGTAGTCTAATGTGGAATTTCAAGAGTATTATCTGAAAATCATTATAATGCATATATGTATCATTTTTCTTCCACTTCAGAGTTATTCACCTGGTTTTTGGTCAAACTAAATAAAAAAACAAAAAACAACACTTTGTGATCTAATGGGCTAAAATAAGAGATAACAACAGGGATAATTTCAAAATGTTGACTGTCAGTATTATAATGCATGTATAATCTTAACTATACCTCTGACTTTGCACTTAAGAAGCTTAAAGACATGTTGAATAATACCACATAGCAGGAAACATAATCCCACCATAAACCCTGTTTATTTATTTTTTAAATCAATTCTTAATGTAACATACATTCTCACTGAAAACAGAATAGAAATCTAACCTTTAATTTGAATATATTTATTCTGTATTTAAAAAAAAAAGTTCTTGGGAAAACACCTATTCTGCTCATGTCTAAGCATTTCATCAGGTTGATGTATAAATACAGAGACCAATCCTTTTTGTACAATTTCCTTTCTATAGAGCCACTTTGGCAGCATTAAGTCTTTAAAAGGGACAATTGGAGCTGAATAAATGCAACTTTGTATTACCTTGTTTGATTTACACAAAGCAAATTGCTTTGATATTAAACATTTGCTCCAAATTTTTATGCAGTTTCAGTGACTTTATAAAAATATACAACTATGATATACCATTTGTAGTTCTTAAGGGCTAAATTAATTACTGTGAGGGAGCACATTCAGCCCGCAGGCCTCAAGTTTGACACAAGCTAGGCTGTCCAGAATCCTCACTCTTTTCCTTTCTTGTCTTCAGCTTTTATATAGGATTTAAATCAGAACACTGAGATGGTTATAAAATAATGTTGATCTTTTTTTTTTTTTGCCTAATGAACAATTCCTTTGTTGTGCTGGCTAAATGCAATGGATCATTACCCCTCTGACACAACAGATTACCAAATAACTTTTTTGTCTTTTGTTTTATTTTGAAATGTTTTGGCATGTCAAAAAATAATACAACTATGCTCCTAAAAGCACTGTAAAACATACAGGACAGAATAACGGACTAAACTTAAGCATTACAGTCCCTCACTTGATTCATGTTCCTGTCCATGTCTCCATTTTCACCTTGGAAGTACCTGAGTGAACAAAGTTCAAGAGACCGTTGCATCTCTAAATAGTTGAAGTCCCACTGCACAAAATATCTACTATCTAACTTAATAGGGAGATGAAAGGAATTAACACTCTTTTTCAACCTTTTTCGAAGCAACAGTACCCGGAATGTTTGCTACTAAAATGCTTAATCTTGGTATGATCTGATCAAAACACACAATTCCAGTTCGTCTCACTAGAGTTTAGAAACAAATGCTTATTTATGACCTGTGAATTAGAATGGCTTTCATTTGACATAAATTACAAATGACTGGTTAACCTACACAGGACATTATGTATGGATATTGTTTTCACTTGGTAACACAAAGATGTCGCTTTTTTTTTTAGAAATTCTCTAAATCCATCATAATAATTTTTATGCTTTACATGTATGGTGGCAAAATAGACATAGGTCCTAAAAATGCTTCCTACAGTTACATTCAATGTTGCTCTAATTTCAGATATTTTCAACTTTAGGTGAATAGTTATCTGCTATTATCAGTGTACAAAGATCAACACTCATCTGCCTTTTAATGGTCATGTATTCCTCATGTTTGAACAGAAATGGGTTTTCAATTGATGTATATTTATATTATTTGCCAAACAGCTATAGTTCACAAATTAAAGCTCTCTAGACACTTGGACTTTTAAAAGTAAAGCTTACATTTAGTTAAGCCTTGTTTCCTGACTCTGAAGTTGGAGAATCTAACTATTTTTACACATATTTAACTCACTCACATGCTTAATATCAATATGTCCTCACAGGATTCTTCCCTAGCACTGTGATGAATCGGGATACATCCGTTCCAACAGACACTGAAACTGCATGTAGTTTTTGTAGACTGGGTGTAATTCTTGCTGTATTTGCAGGAATTTCTTTGTCAATTTCTACCAGGCTTGCAAGTTTTTTGCAGATGGAAAATCATTCTTATTCAGTTCAGAGATATAGCTGTGTTTTAACAGAAACAGGAAGCAGAAATAGAAACATCAATCTAGACTAAAAAGACAAAGAAAAATACATTTTTCTATTTACTTTTGCTTAAATTTATCTTATAGCTAATTATTTAGTAACTTATTTATTTTATACATTTCTTTAACTGATTACTTTATTTTTAAAATACATCCTTGCCTTCCTTTGGTTTCTCTCCTGTTTTTTTATTTTATTTTAATCATATTATTTGACAAAATGTCTCTCTTCTATCTGTGCAGCTTAGGTATTCCCACAAGAACTTAACATGGACCAAGAACCAGCGCAACTCGGCTTACAAAAGGTTAGTTTATTCAGTTATTTAATCAACATCTGGAACATGCAACATGCAGATTATAAGGCAACACTTCATCCCCCCTTTTTTTCTAGATATAGCTCAGCTAACATGGAGGGTACTCTTTCACGGCAGCCAAAGTGTGACACAGACAGTTTCTCCGTGGCTCCACAGTACTGGACCTGGGGAAACCAGATGAATGGTAGGTCCAGTTTTATTGTTTATATGATAAAAGGTTATAAGTAGATTAAGTGTGAGCTTTCTCTGTGTCTCTTCCAGAGGGATTTTGTCAAAGACATGAAATGATAAACTATGAAGCAGATAATGCCTAATCCCAAAAGTAGGGGGGGATTTTCCTGCTTCAGTATGAGAATTAATAAGGTTTCCCTCAAGGAGTATTATTCGTTGCAAAGCTGTATTAATAAAATGCTCTTAAAAGCCACTGTGTCCAGATCAGGCAAAGTGTATTTACATATGAGCTACTTTCATGAATTATGCCCTGATTTTGACTAATTTATGCATATTTTATACAGAATGCAAGAGATCTCTTCAAGAGGCAGCCTCTCCTAACAGCTCATGGACTCCGAAGCAAACTCAGCCTCATTCCGAGGCAGCGGATTATCAGCACAATGTTTACATTCCTGGCTCCACGTCTGGCTACAGCACTCTGAAGCTGACGTCCAGAGGGGACTTGGACGTTTTCAACACCTTCTCCACCTTTGGCAAGAAAAACAAATTTATCTCCAGCTATGAACAAACATTTGACATGGATAATGACATCATAAGCAATTCCATTTTTAAATGAGTGTTGGAAGCTTTCAACTGTTATATTATTGTCATGATTCGTAAACATTCATTGGAGACTTTGTTGCCCTTACTTTTTATTAAGTTGTTTTAAATTTACAATTGATTTCTAAACAGTGATAGTAAGGTTTAACAAATAATGTATGACTGAAACACAGCTTTTCTGTTTCACTCTCCGGTTTTTGTTGGGGTCGCCTATTTGATGAAGGGTTTTTTCTAAGCAAATTAGCACTTCATATTAAGCCTGTATTTGCTCGCATAAATGTAAATATTATTGTAAAGAAATTCACTATAATACTTTGTAAATTCTGTAAGTAGTTACATTTATAATAATTCATTCTATAAAATCAAATACCTATGACCAATTAAACACTATAATTACTTCTATTTATTTTCAGTACAGTTCAATGCAGCTCTTGTTTTAAAAGAGGTGTCGGGGCAGGAAATAGCATAACTTATTTTGAAATTATTTCCAACTTTTTTATCCACTGATACATTTTATATGTTTTCCTTACAGTGGGTAAAATAAGAACTGAACATGCCACCATTTTTCTCAGTCATATATTTCTAGTGTACTTTGTACAAAAGCCTTTGTTGGCAATGACAGCTTCAAGACGCCTCCTGTATGGAGAAATTAGACGCATTGATTGATTGACTTTATTGATCTCACAGTGGAGAAATTTACTTGTTGCATGCTGAAGTCTCTTATTTAGCAAGATTATTATACAGTTTTTGCACAGGGTATTTACATGGGTGTTTATATAGTTGGTTATTAATATATATAGCTATTGCACTGGGTATCAAATATAAAGAAACAGGTAATTGCAAATGGGATTAAATAGTAATAGCACATTATACATTGCACAAGTTAGTGCAGTTGTAGTGTCGCATTGTAGAATCTGGTGGCAGCAGGGATGAATGACCTGCGGTAGCGCTCCTTTTTTACAACGGTGTAAAAGTCTCTCACTACAGGAGCTGCTCAGCTCCTCTACACTCTGGTGCAGTGGGTTAGAGGTGTTGTCCATGATGGATGTAAGCTTGGACAGCAGTCTCCTCTCAGCCACTTCCTCCACTGAGTCCAGAGCGCAGCCTAGGACAGAAATGGGAACAGCATGCATTGCTCAGGTATACTTTTTGCCCATTCTTCTACACAAACAGTCTTCAAATCTTGAAGGTTTTATGTGCCTCTTCTATGAACTCTGATCTTTAGTTCTTTCCAGATATTTTCTATTAGATTCAATCAAGTCAGGTGATTGTCTGGGCCATTCTAGCAGTTTTTTTTTTCTTTCTCTGACACCGATTGAGAGTTTCCATGGCTGTTTGTGTTTCCGTGGCTGTGTGTTTGGGGTCAGTGTCCTGCTGAAATATCCACCCTCGTTTCATCATCCTGGTAGATGGCAGCAGAGTTTTATCAAGAATGTCTCTGTACTTTTTTTATTCATCCTTCCTTCTATCATTTGAAGTTTGTCTGTAGCATATGCTGAAAAACAGCCCCACACCATGATGATCCCACCTCCAAACTTCATGTAGGTGTGGTATTTTTGGAATGATGTGCAGAGCCATCTGACCTCCAAACATGATGTGTATTATGGCATCCAAAGAGTCAATTTTGGCCTCACATGACCAGATTATATATTCCACAGGCTTTTCTGTAAATGTTGTGCAGCAAACTATAAAAAAATCTTCAAAATGCTTTTTCTTCACCAATGTAGTTGTATGGTGAGCGTTCATACCGGCCATGACCGTTGAGTGGAGTACTTATTGTTTTCTTTTAAGCAATTTTACCTTCTAATTCCAGATCTTTCTGAAGCCCTCCACAAGTGGTCTTTGGCTCTTGAACAACTCTCCTAATAATTATTTTCACTCCTCTGTCAGAGGAGAACCTTCTCTTGTGAGAAGCACCTGGTCGTGGTCAGTTTATGGTGAAATTATATTCTTTCCACTTCCAGATTATGGCCCCAACAGAGCTCACTGGAACATTGAAAAGTTTAGAAATCCTTTAGTAACCAATGCCATCATTAAGGTTGCAAAGGTCTTGAGAAAGCTCTTTACGTTCACCCATCACAAGATGTTTCTTCTTTTTATAGGCCATCATTTGGGACTGAAGCAGCTGAAAATAATCTGCACTGACAAGAGGCAGGATTGCTTTCTAATTACTTAGAGATTTTAGCTGGTATCTTGACTTCCCAGGCCTTTTTGCACCTCCCTCTCTTCACGTATTCAATACTTTTTCCCTGTGCCATTCCACATTATAACACAATTGAATTTCTGGAGATCTATGATTAGATTTCTTTTTATGTGTGGATTGCAGAGATTGCTACCAATATCTGGTGAAAATGTCATGTCAATAGCACCTCTAGAAATATATTATATATATATACTGAGAAAAATGGTGGACTGTTCAATACTTATTTCACCCGCTGTATCTATAACAACCTATTAGTTTCTGAACTAGTTCATCTTGAGTGATGATTTTGGACGTTGTCCTTTTAGTTTGACTTCAGGCATCCTCTAACCTGTGTCATTACAGTGGTATCACTTCCTTATTCGTCATTAGATGGGATGTGCAAATGACTAAATTATCTCACATTTATATTCATTCAGGGGGTTTTACTTTGTATGTCAAGTGATTATTGTGCAAATATCAGTATGTATTAATAATAAATACATGTTTAAAAAATGCTGGGTTTTTTTATTTATTTTTTTCCCTACAACATTGATTATTGATAAATTGTAGGAAAAGGCTAAAGAACGTGGAGGTTTGAAACTGAAAAAAATGAAAGCAAAGATATATAAATGTCTAATTTAAAAACAAAATGGTATAAAAACATTTTTATATTAATTTTTGAAATGTTTAACATGTCTCCGCCTTTAAGATCTAATTTATATACTTAGCTACTTTTAAATTACCTGAAAATATTTTGTGTATTAATTTCTAACACATTTTACTGTTTAAGAATTCAGTGTCTTTTATAGGTTTTTCCTTAGAAATATGATGATTTGTTGTACAGGACCAAAGTGCAGAAATACACTTGGAAGTAGCTTTATGAGTGTGAGAATTTAATGAGGAAACTGGTGAAAGGTGAAGAATAACCTGGACATGCAATATGGAGCAGAATTAAGGACTTTATAAATACTGACAGGAAACTGAAGCCTTATATGCTATAGTAAAGAAGAAAATGAAGAATAAGAAAGAATAAATAAGAGTGATAATGATGATATGGGAGAAGCTAAGACAACTTACCATAAAATACCAACATAATGACTAAAGAATGTAAAGACAAAAACATCTGAACTGCTAAGACATACACAAGAGAAATGCACCAGATGACACCTGATTAAAGGTGAAGAAAAAAAAATAGAACTAAAATTACAAACTTAATAACATTATGTGGCAGACCTTAAAAAACAAAGTTGAAAGCAAAATCTAACTTGCAGATCCTGAAAATAGAAGCATCAGTGATTTTTTTTTCCCCCACCGTATTTACCTTGTCTCTTTAAATTTTCTATTTTTATGTATCATTTTACCTTTTTCAGTCTTGGTTTTACTTTATGCATTATGCATATAGTCTGCTTCATTAATGCTAATGATGACCTTTTTCTTTTTTTTTTTTTTACACAGAGACAATATTTCGTTGACCTTTTTAAAGAAAAGATACTTATTAGCAGGTTTTAGCAAAAATCATCACCTAATTGAGCTCCTGTGACACGTTTTGGGCCCCAGTGGCAACTCCCAGGAAGAGCTTCGGCCCTGATGGGAGATTGTTGTAAACCCTCTATTCTAATATATAACAGAAAGAACAAAGACACTCTAATAAACAAAGTTAAAAAACATAATTTGTCAGAACAGCCACAAGAGTTAAAATCAGCCACAAAAGCATATCTTTTTTCATTACTTCATATCTGCCCAAAATTATAATATACTTTTGGGAAAAAAGTGGTTAAATTAATATATTGATCCACCTAGTCTTGTAGGAACAACAATTCTGAACTACACGTTTCTTTGTGAGAGTAGATATCAAAGGATAGCTGGGTGTTTGGCCACTTTGTTATGAGATTTACTGAAGTCTAAAAATGTATTTTTGGGCAAATTTGGCTCTTAAACTTTTTGTCTCATTTTGATTAAGAACCAGATCTAAAGCATGTCCTTGAATATTTACAGACCTCTTACTGTACATCCAAAACAAACTTTCCAATTATTTTGATTATCCATTTATTTTTGGATGTGTAGATTATCACATTTTATTTATTGTTGGATATTTCAAGATTACCAATGACATTCCTTTGGATGAAAGTGCAATACAACTGTGTGATACCCAACATGTAAAACAGCAACTGCACAAATGAGGACAAATGTTGGATTTAATCATCACTAAGGATCTTGGACTGATGTTGCCCTATCTGACAACTTTTCTGCTAATTTTGAAATCATAATTTCCAATGTCCTCAGTTTGCCAAAGAGACAAGAAAACACACATTTAAGGAGGGTTGGCTCCTGAAATGTATATCAGATTTACTTTCCTATTTCTGCCCTCTAACTATTGATGAGCCTGCGGATAACTTTTATTCCTAAACCTCTGACATCACTGATTCAGTCACTTCAATGAAAGAGAAGGTTGTTTCTGGGAGCAAGAAGTATTTTTCAAGAGGTGCTCAACCAGTTAGAAGGGAGTGTGAAATCAAATAACAATGTTGTGCAATAACTTATCAATTAATGCCCACCGCTGTAGGCTTGGCAAATATGCCATTTAACCAAACAACTTTCAGACTCATATATTATTCTTTGAATCCACACTCAACTGGCTGTGTTGGGACGGAAAATTAATATGTGAATTAGGGATGTGGGAAATAAATAAAACCACAACTTCCATCCAAAATATAAGAATTTATTAACAAAAATATTTCACTCCAATACAAAAATATTTAAATGAAAAACTCTTGACTAAACTAATGAAACACAAATAAACTAAGCTACTATGTACACCAAAAAAAGAAAGAAAAATGGTTGAAAACCACAATCAATGGAATGATGCAATGATATTGTTCAGCACGAATTTTATGTTTTGAGAACCACAGTTTACATTAAAAAGTTTGGAATTATGTCAATTTTGCTTTTAACTAATCTAGTGCAATTTGAATATGTTCAAATATAAATCGAAGAGGTAAACAAAGTATTATTTCATAAAATAATATTTTAATAAACAATTTGCTTAATCAACTTTTGTTAACTGATTCTTAACCTTCTGCGTTTGAACTAGTAGTAAACAGACATGTGGGGACTCATCTTAAAGGAGTCTGCTCAAATTTTGTAAATGAAATGGGATGAGCATGTGAAGAAATATATAAACATTAACACTGTATTATGTTTAAACCTTTAGTGAAATAAAGTTTATTTTAGCTTTATCAATAACAGCTCAAAACATATCATTGTGGGGAACCATGTGGTCACAATGAGCTTCTTAATAGCTTGCCTTACACAACAGTAAAGACCTGAAAATATCAAAATCATCAGAAACCCACATTTTTAAATTTGTATTATTCTAATTTCGCCAGATTTAAAACCTAGGCTTTCTCTAGTATTCAGGCCCCAGCAGGGAAACATTCATTTGTTTTCATATGCTCCACTCCTGTAGTCTCTAGCATCTCAAACGTTCCTGTCAATGCAGAGAGAAATGTTGCAGAGCAGTCTGTTTTTGCAGCAATCGGGTTCAGAAATTAGCCACAAGTTCAACTTAGCCTTTGACCTGTCTGCAAATTCGGGTTTCTGTGGCCTGCATGGCGTTTATTCATGGGGTCTCTTTGATGAGGCTGGCTTGAGTTCAGCTGTAAAGAAGGATGGGACCAGCATAAAGCAGTTGCTTTGTCCACAAACACGGTGGGGAGGGCAAGATCCGGTGGGAGTGTCGTGTGAGAGGGGGATTTGCAAAACTTAGATAAAAGAAAAGCATGGACATATATTCTCAGTGTAAAAATGTATATAATTGTTTGTGATTTAAAAAGATTTAAAAAGAAAAAGCTATTGAAAAATAATCATGTTGTCAAAGTACTTTTGGAAAAAAGGAAAATGTAACAGAATCAGAATACAAACAGTGTATAGAATCCATTCAGTTTGGTAAAATTAACATTAATATAAAGGTTAACGTTGGTTTTGAGTCACTTGCTCAAAAGACAGGAAATTTTATTTATTTATCTATTTTTTCTCAAAAGTATTTGCTTTGAGATTTATGAGCAGTCCCTTAGCCAGAACGCTGTGTGTAAAAGGAGAGATCAGGCAGACGAGGAACCTCTAAGTAACATCGAGGCAAA